GGCGAGGGGGTAGGCCACGGCGAGTGAGTGCGAGGTCAAGCAGGGGGGCGTCGACGTGATGAAGCACGTCGACCACGGTGGACCCCTGCGCGGCGAGGCACTCCGAGTGCGAGGGCAAGCTGGACGGCAGCGACGTGCTGCAGGACGGCGGCCGCGGTGGACCCCCTGCGCGGCGAGGGTGCAGGCCACCGTGCGTGCGAGGTCGAGCTGGAGGGCCCCCGACGTGGTGCAAGTGCAAGCCGGTGGGGCACCGGCGAGAGGGGCAGGCCGAGGAAGGAAGGGCAAGGCCGCGCAGGCGACGGAAAGCGCCGCGCAAGCCTGCCCACCGCGGACGACGCCGCCGAGCGGGCCAGGCAGGCGCTCCGCCTGGCCTCCGCCGAGTGCCGCGAGCCGGAGGCCCAGCTCGCGGCCGCCCGCGCCGACCTCGCCATCGAGGAGATCGAAGTGCGCGCGGTGGCGGTTGGGCTGGCGGCGGCGGGCGGGGCCTGGGACGAGCCCCCGCCTGAGGCCGCTGGCCTTCCCGTGCCTCGGGCGCGGGGATCGGGCGTGGCGGCTCGACCGTCACTCTTCGGCTTCGCTCTTACTCTTACTCGTACCCCTACTCCTTCCCTTTCTGTGCATTATCATCATCCTCATCGTCCTCCTCCTCCTCCTCCTCCTCCTCATCATCATCATCATCATCATCATCATCATCATCATCATCATCAGCATCATCATCATCATCATCATCATCATCATCAGCATCATCAGCAGCAGCAGCATCATCATCATCAGCAGCAGCATCATCATCATCATCATCATCATCACCACCACCACCACCACCATCATCATCATCATCAGCAGCAGCAGCATCAGCATCCTCCCATCAGCATCATCACCAGCATCATCAGCATCGAAAGCATCATCATCGTCATCATCATCACCAGCATCATCAGCATCATCAGCATCAGCAGCAGCAGCAGTAGCAGCAGAAGCAGCATCAGCATCCTCATCAGAAGCAGCAGAAACATCATCAGCATCATCAGCAGCATCACCACCACCACAACCACAATCATCATCATCATCATCATCATCATCATCATCATCATCATCATCATCAGCATCATCATCATCCTCATCATCAACATCAGCATCATCATCATCATCATCAGCAGCAGCAGCATCATCAGCACCATCATCGTTATCATCATCAGCAGCTTCAGCATCATCATCATCATCATCATCATCATCATCATCATCATCATCATCATCATCATCATCATCACCATCCTCATCAGCAGCATCATCATCATAATCAGCATCGCCATCACAATCAGCACCAGCATCATCACCGCCACCATCATCATCAGCATCATCCATATCAGCATCATCACTTTCATCATCAGCAGCATCATGTTCAGCATCATAATCGCAAGATCATCGTGACTATCATCAGCAGCAACAGCATAAATATAACCAACAGCATCGTCATAAGCGTCAGCATCAGCATCATCACCATCATCCTCATCATCAACATCAGCATCATCATCCCAATCATCAACATCATTATCCTCATCATCATCCTCATCTTCATCCTCATCCTCATCATCGTGATCAGCATCATCATCATCATCATCATCAGCATCAGCATCAGCATCCTCATCATCATATCCTCATCCTCATCCTCATCTTCATCCTCATCATCAGCAGCATTATCCTCCTCGTCCTCCTCCTTCGCCTCCGTCTCCGCCTCCGTTGCCTCCTCCTCCTTCTCCTCCGTGTCCTCCTACTCCTCATCCTCCTCCTCCTCCTCCTCAGCCGCCTCCTCCACTTCTGCTTGTTCCTGGAATTAATGTGATTGTGGGTTGAGTTCGTCTTCTGCTTATTGCTCGGACTCGCACTACTCGTCTTGGATGCATTCGTTTTAATATACGTCGTACGAGTATTCTTTCCTGCCGTCAGAAATTTGTGTATCGTACTAATACGAATAAAACCAATAGGCGTAAAAAAAAGATAGCAAATCCGCCGACCCTGTCGGCGTGTGTGAGGGGCGTGTCCATTCAAGTCGTCATCTCCGTCATTCGTTGGTCGTCGTCTCTGTCGTCCCCTTTCCCTGCCTCCCCCCTTTCCCTGGGCTCGTCGAAGCTCCCCCCTTTCCCAGGGACCTCCTCAGCGCGCCAGCCAAAGCGAAGTTGAGCAACGTCGTAATTGAGTCGAAAGGAAGCCCTTTCCCTTCGATCCCTCCCCCGCCGGGGGGGAGGGTCCCTGGAGGGGGTCCGGGGGGGTTCCCACGGGGGGGGGGGGGTCAGATACGACGCCCCCCCTGGGAGTCCCAGAGCCCCAAAAAGCCCCAAGACGGGCCAAGAGTGCCCCAAGAGTCCCCAAAGACAGTCCAAGAGAACCCCGAATCGCCGAACGATCTGTCCAAGTCGCCTTGACGGCCTCCAGACGGCCCAAGAGGCCTGCAAAGCGCCCCAAGAGGCCTCCAGGAGCTTTCCCACGAGTCCCAAGAGGCAAAATTTATGGATTTCCCATACGTTTTTGAAAGATTTTGGCGTTCTTGCCTCTTCCGCTTCCCGACGCGCCAAGACGGCCCAAGAGGCCCCCAAGATTGCCTCGAGACGGCCCAAGAGGCCGCCCAGAGGGTCCCCTAGCGGCCGACGAAGGCCCCAAGACGGCCCAAGACGCCTCCAAGACGGCCCGAGAGGCCCCCAAGACGGCTCCAGGAGAGTGCCCAGACGGGGGACCCGAACGGACATTTCGAGCT